CCCCCTCCACCTCCTTCCCCTCCTCCTTCCCTTCCTTCCTCCTCCTCTTCTTCCTCCTCCTCCCCCTTCCCCCTCCTCTTCCTCCTCATCCTCCTTGCCTTCCTCCCCTTTCTCTTCCTCCTCGTCCTCCTCGTCCTCCTCCTCCTCGTCTGACCTGGGGATGACATGCCTCTCCCCCCTGATGTCTGGCGTGCTGTCACTAGGGTGACTGAGTGTGGGAGGTGCTCGGTGAGGGTGTGCGGGTGGCTGGCGGCTGGGGGAAGGACGTACAGATGCTGGGGACGGCAGGGCCAGGGCTCCGCACACAGGAAGAAGGCTGAGGGCCAGGACAAGGCCAGGGGCCCCGGGAGGGGCCGGGCAGCTGAGCCGGGTGTCCATCGTCGCGGCCATGCAGGGGCAGGGGTGCTGATGGAGGGGTCGGGCGTCCCCACCGGGCGCGCCGCGCCCCAGCAGGCCACAGGGTGGGTGTGCTGAGGCCCGCACTGCTGCTCCCCGCACTCATTTCCTGTGCTCCGTGCACAGCCCAGTGCGTTCAGAATATTCCATAAGCCTGCCCCCCCGCACCTAGCACGCTGCGCAATAGCGAGTGACCCCCTGGCCACATACCAGGCCCTAGTGGGGAGCGGGCAGACCGCGCCTGACCCCCGAGTTCCAGAAGCATGCGGGCCACCCACGTGAGGCTGGAAAGGGCTCGGTGAAGTCTTAGCTCAAGGGAGACAGACATTCCACCCGACAGCGCGCAGGCCGGACGCAGGCCGTGGCGGGGGGTGTTCCATGCCGTCTCACTGTGACTGTCGGGGTCGCACAGAGGGTCCCGTTGTACAAGTCAGGTCTTCGTAGTCGCCTTTTGGATGATGTTCCCTCCCCCTTCCTTTGGGAAAGAGGTTTTTACCTCTTCCCTCTCCTCAGCAAACCCATCTCCTCCTGCTCAGGACAGGAGCGGGCAGGAGGCAGCGCTGCCCACCCCGGTCCTGCTGGTGCCCACAGGCCTTTAGTGGGGAGCCGCTGGGCGCCAGAGAGCTCTCACCCCCCAGATGAATGAAGCGTCTGGGCCATGGAGGGAGGGGTGGGGTCCCAGGGGAGGCGGGGGAGGGG